CCACTGTCCGTTTTTTGTTTTTTTTTCTTTTTGAGACACTGTCTGGCCGAGTAGTCTTAGCTGACTTCAAACATAACCATCCTGCCTCAGTCTCCCAAAGGAGGATGGATATAGGCAGGTAGCACCTGCTTGGTCTGTCTTCCATCTTGTATTTACTTATTTACTTTTTTTTTTTAATTTATTGGTTTTTTTTTTTTTTGAGATAGGGTTTCTCTGTGTAGTCGTGGCTGTCTTGGAACTCACTCTGTGGACCAGGCTGGCCTTGAACTCACAGAGATCTGCTTGCCTCTGCCTCCCAAATGCCTTCACCACCAGTCCTGGCCACTGAGCATAAGAACCTAGGTTCATGCAGTTGTTAAGCAAGTACTCTATCACTAAATTGTATCCTTAGCTTTTGTTTTTTTCAGTAATCAGGGCTTCATGTGTGCAGACCCAGATTTTTTTCTCTTAAGAGTTTTTTAAAATTTGGTGTGGTGTGTGTGTGTGTGGGGGGGGTATGGAGAATGTGAGTGTGGGTGCCTGCAAAAGCCAGAAGACATCAGATCCCCTGGAGCTAGATTTGGGCTGTAGGGCACATCTGAAATGTAGGTGCAGGGAACTGAGCTGGATCCTTAGAAAGAGCACTGAGTGCTCATAACTGCTGAGCCAGCCCTTCAGCCTCTAAAACACAGACACCTTAGATATTTTATTTTTAAGCCTGGTAGTAGTGGCACAGGCCTTTAATCCTAGCACTGGGGAGGCAGAGGCAGGTGGATCTCTTGAGTTTCAGGCCAGCCTGCTCTACAGAGTGAGTTCCAGACAGCCTCCAAAGCTACACAGAGAAACCCCCGTCTTGAAAAACCAATAAAAATGAATTTTTAAAAATATAGGACCTGTGTTACTCAGGTTGGTTTTGAACTCACTAAGGCCTACCTTAGACTTTTGATTCTTCTTCTCCAGCCTTCCTGAGTAGAGGCCTGCACAGCCTGGCCTGGCCATCATTTTTTAACTGTTTTTCTATGTTCTAGTTCCCTGTTGCCCTGTCTCCATTTCCTGATCTCTTTTCGTACTATCATTGCCTGGACCTCATTTTGGATTCCTTCTGTGGCCAGGCCTTTTCAGTGGCTCTCTGTCCACTTCTTTTTCTGACTTCTCTAAATAGTATTCTTTCTTTGCTCTGACTGTCTCTTCCCACTTAGCTACTGTCACTGATTTATCTGCATCTGATGACCACCCGGCCTTCTAGGACATCATGGACCCTCGTGGACGAGTCCCCCAGCCCTTCCAGCAACTTGAGAAACCTGGCCGTATCCGTCGTCGCAAAACTAGGAGGGAGCGAAATAAGGCCCTAGTGAGCAGCCGTCGGCCCCTGACCCGACAGGATCCTTCTGTGTCCAGACGGGAGCCGTCGGCCATCCTCCAGGATCCTGTGGCCTCTGTAGCCCCCAAGCTTGTCGTTATAACTCAGGGCAGGTTGAGCCGGGAGCATCGAGGTCTCTTCAACCACGAAGTGAAATCACTGGATGTG